ATTTCTTAGCTCTTCCAGCCAATTCTTACCTAAAATTTGATTAGATGTTCTGCAAATAATAACCTATTCAAATATTATAGCTAAATTCGTTCTTATTTTTTGAGGATCTATATTCAAATATTTCACTATTTTCTTCCACGATTGTCTCAAAAAACGCCTTAAAAAATTAATGAAAATGTTGCTTTAAGCAAAGATTGTTCTAGACAAGCAACTTAACCTCAACTTATTTTGAAACCCATTTTTATTTCTAATTTGGTGCATTATCTGGGGGTCTTAAATTCTCATGAAGCACAAGCAGAGATCTGGCGCGAATGAAAGGCTGTGACGTAAATTTTTAACGTTAAGAGTTGTGAGGCAAATAAATTACGGACGTGTTTCCAAGTACTCGCATATGTCAAAAAGCAGATAAGAAACTCTTCTTCATATTAATTTCGATGCCTATCGAGTTTAGCAGCAGTCTCGAATTTTTTCCCAGCTCTTTCCTGCCAAACCACAAGGCCTAACGACCAATCAAGAAATTAATTCTTGTTGCCATTGTCTGTGCCGCCATTTTAGCAGATGGTTAGGAACTTTTTTCTGTGCCAATATCTCAAACTCTGTTCCAAAATTTTGGGACATTTGACAGTTAATTACGGACTACAGGAATTTTTTTAATGTAAAAGTAACTTATTATTATGTACAATGAAAACCTAAAAAGCATTTAGAGCCAAACACGTAACTCGAATCTGCATCGCAAAGCAGGTAAGTGATGGTTAGAGAAAGCAAATACGTGAATGGAATGTACACAAGCATTGCTGCAGCAGGTCGGACTGAAGAAAGGGAAAATAAGTGTGATTTTGGTCATGACAGGAATAAACTAACAAAAAATTTTAGCATGTCCTGCCATTTGCCAAAGGAGGAATACCTACAACCAGTTCAATTGCATCACTCTAAAATTTATTTAAGCCTTCCACTTAAGTTGGCTCCCGTAAAATGTTGAGTTTAAAACATTAATAGCAAAGTGGCTCGTTACCATGTGAACATCTTGATTTCTTTCTACAACTTAAGTGGAAGGTTCCACCATGACTTGAAAACAGGCATAATGCCATTTTACCTGCTTATTCCACTTGGAAACGGACAATGGATACAAATGCATTGTGTTAGACAGCGTAAAGCCGATTTCGTTTGCATTTAATCGCCCAGACGAAGTTTAGCTTTGATAAAAACTATTTTAATGAAAGCAGAGCTAACTGTGCCACTTGCTAAACTCCAAAATCTCTCCTGTCTACCGGTATTTCTCTGGCCTAAATCATCTGGCTTCTTCCTTTATATACAGAGATTAGCCAAAGGTTTCGGCGACAACAGACATTGCATACAAGAAATGAAAGTTCACTATCTCTGAAAGGAATTCTTTTTCCCGCGCGTGAAAGCGTGAAGGGGACGCGTGCACCAAAGAGATTATTTTGGAAATAATAATATCCTATCCGAAATATCCGTATTTGAAAGGAAACTTAATTGACAAAGAGTTTTCGCCGTTTAAAAGTTTTAAAAAAGCAAGATCTTGAGATCGAAAGAGCGAATAATCGGCTTCAGACTTAATCTACACTGTCTTTGCAAAGTGCCAGAATTTCACTACCAAGTTTCTTTTTATTTGAAGTTATTGTTTCAGCCGTCTGAAGATACAGTATTGGATTACGATTCCCGACGATGTAACCAACGATCAAAAGCACTGGCCTAGGTTCCTGAAGAAAAAGCCTGGGGACTAATGGATTGCATTCACAACCTCGTTTCTGTTTTACTGGCTTAGATAGAAGCCTTTTTATGAAGTATGGATGAAACTTCATGAACAGTGCAAAGTCCGTGAAGTTTTCGATCTATTTTTATAAGAACTATTGCTGTGCTCTATAATGACTATAATCTAGTCCTTATGAGCTTTTGCCTTCAGACTCTCTGACAAACAATGGGTCGAGAAAACAAGTATGTGGAATTTTTTTTGCCGACAGCTTTAAGAATCCGGGAGACTTTTCATTGCTTACAATGACAAATTTTGCCTTTTGGTGATGCAAATTAAAAATGGCTGAAAATGTATCTCCCTGATTATCAAAAGATGATGTACACGCATTTTGATATGCTCCGCTGTTGTTTTTGTTTCTGATAGGTCCATTTCGATCCACAACTGGGTACGTACATTTTACAGCTTGACATTTTCGAGGTTTCAACATTTTCTTTTTAGTTAATATTCTGACATTTAAAGCTCTGGGAAAGGAATAGGTGTGAGACGACCTATTCACAGTTCAACCTGAACATGGAAGGAGGTTACGCTAAAAGGGTCAGTTTTTGTGGACTGAAGAAGAAACTGCGCTACTTTCAAAAGTAGTATTCGACTACAAAGCTGCAAAGCTTGCAAATTGACAGGATTGGGAAACTGTGAGGACAAAGTACGACGACACATCGTCAATGTTTCATAATAATTCTTCAACACAGTAGTCTGTCAACTTGATGTTCGGTTTTCTGGCGCCAAAAAGCCACGGATTACATATTCAAACTACCTTGAATTGAAAAATATTCTGCCTCACTTTCGACCAATAACGAAGACAGATCCGATCTGGACCAGATCCACCCTTTTACACGGGATCCGGTCCATATAGGATCCATAATGGATCACATCTGAAAGCGATCCCAAAAGTATTCAGATAGCGGATCCAAAAGTATACGGATCCACCAGTTCCCTTGTAAACGCAAGGCCTATCCGTATCGGCCTATCCGGATCGGATCCAATTATAGCATGATCAAAACTAATCCGAAATTAATCAAACTCACTTAAAAATAATCTCCCATGATATTCAACTACATATATATTTTGGGAATAAGATGCCTTCGGAAAAAACTCATCTACCCTTTTTCTGGTTATTTTGAAAATTTGCTCAAAGCCTCGAAAATCCATTCATAATACGCTTCGGAAGCACTAATCACCATTTTAAAACGAACCAAAATTTCATCTTGCTTGTGTGTAGAGGGCGACGAAAACGAAGAGCTCGTTAGCGAAAAAGAAAGTGCAGCTATATTTTTTTGAAGAATGGAGCTTTACTAAACTGTATTTGATTGTTTGAACGTGAGACTGTGAAAGCAATATCTGATGGAGTTTTCAACGATACAATTAATCAAGAAACCTATGACTTGACCCTTGTTCCATATTTTTTCTGTTTTCCGGAAGATAAGACTTCTGCTTCTTCAACCCCAAGGAAATGTTGGTAGTCCGTTATAGATCATCCACATTACATGAAAAAACAAGCTTTACAACTCCATATGCGTCAGTGTGTGGTAAATCCAAAGTCCTTTCACGGGTTAATTTGAGTTTGAAAAAATCGACGTCTCCCAAAATAGCTGTGTAACGACCTCACAGAATCCTGTTGTTGGTAACAAGTTTGAACTGTTTTCTTACGTAGCCTAAATATAACACTGATTTATGAAAACCCTTTTATATCGTTCTGGTATTTCAATTGACTCGTGAGATCTAAGTTTTCTTTTAATTGAATCGACAAGACCACTGTTTGATTTGAAAATGGCTGCTACCTTTGGATTTTAGTCCACTTTTGTTTGCGTCTCTTCCGTTCATGAAAAGCGTGGATTACTCTTATTGGTGTCAATCGCTGCGCGCTATTGTTAAGCGTGTCTTTGCCGTTTGCGGCGTGTTCTTTCTCACGCGTTTGTGAGGATCCTTATACAAAATGATTCAAATTTTAGAGGGGTTTCAGCTTTGATTACATTTTGCTATGACCTGGCGTCTTCCCGCAAATCGATTAATTTTGAAGATACAAGAGATAACGTCGACTTTTGGCGTGGCTTGTTCCTTTAAAGTAAAAGTGAAGTTTGTTAAATTGATTGGAATTTGATCTGGCAATTAATTAATTAAAAGTGACTAACGCAACGAAGGAAATGAAAATTCTTTGTATTCAATGATTCACGCTTCTTTGGATGTGCGATCGTTGCCTTTACTTTGCCACCTCTCTTCACCCTACGTTCCCTACAACCAAGTCCATCTATCATCTTTAACAAGTGTAATTTATGTATATCCCTGCAGGCCACTTGTTAAATGTCAGTAAAGTCAAATAGATAAAAAATCATTGCCAGTATCTGACCTGGCCTCGAACTTTCTCTAAGGGATGGGGGAGGGGGGGGGGTTAAGAAAAATACAAGTTTAGCCAGTGATTATTTCTGTGTTGCTTTTATTTTAGGAAATGTAGCAATTCTTAAATGTTGTTTTGACAAACGCACCAAATTTTTGTTGCTCAATCAATAATTTTGCTTCTTTAAGTCCAACTTTTACATATTCACCTCACCTATTGCTGGCCTGGCCAATTCTTTTTAAATTTCTATGAATGTCAGTCATCACTTTTGATAGAAAATACCAGTCATTGCAGTCAGTTTCAATTTGTCAATGAATTTAAAATCTATTTTAAGCCAGCATTACTTCGCAGGGGTACCAATTAATGTTTAAAGGCTATATGACACTGTTAGATTTTTTCATCAGGTATTCATTTATCATCAATATTCTTACCAATTACCAAATACAATTCAATATTCTGCTGTTGAATACAACCTATCTTTCATTTTTAATCATTACTGTCTTCCCCTCCTCTTGAAGATACAAATATCTAATTAGTTTCTGATGAATACCTCATTTTAAAAACATCAGACAGTGTAGCAGGATCTTCAAGAATATGTATACCTGTACTGCTGGTAGATTTGAGTTCTTTTTTTTCGCCAATTAAATCAAATATATAGATATGTAAAAAGTTATTGAGTTTAGTTTCCTTTGGTGATAACGTAATTTTAGCTTCAATTTAACCTTTCTGATGATCCACACTTTCAATTATTAGTAAAAGATAATTTATGTTAATCTTGGATAGATTTGGAGTAAAATGTTGCATTTTACTCCAAATCTATCCAAGTTTTTGCGACAGATGAGGTAGATGAGAGAGCCTAATACTGTATTCTTCAATATTCATTTTAGTATCCTGAATTGCAAAACAACTGGCACAACTAGCAAAGGCTCGTGAGGTCAGAAATGAATTCTTTGAGAATGCAAAGTCCAAAGAGAGCTAAGTCTCTCCCGAAGGCCTTTTTGCAAACTGGAGATTTATAATTTCAAGTAAAGGGTCAGGGATATATCACTCTATATATTTTAGCATATACCGGCTGGTTAAGTGTTTCCAAAGGAAGTCCCTTTCAAAAATTGCCCATACATATTTATGGACTTTTTCAGGTACCAGCTCAACCCAAACAAGCCTTGGCAGCATTGTATAACAGATGACTTTTAATTTTTGATGAAACCTACTTTTTAATTGAGAATGAACTTACTTCCTTTTTTAAAAGACAAAACAGTTCGACTCGCCGAACGCAATGTTGTACTGTGCCGAAGCATGCCATTTCAGTTTAACCCCCGTCTCAATTATAATCATCTTAAACAAACATTGCGGAATTTTCTTTGACTCCTTGCTCCATCTTGACTCTGAACTATGGTTTGCAATGATCGGCAACTTGTTTTGACACGGATTCAAGCTGGATTTAGGAAGCCTGTCTCGAAGAGAAGAAGGTCTGTTGTATTATTTGTGGAGACAGTGCATGGATCAGGGGGCAATGAGGGTGTGTAGCCTGGCCTTTGTTCGATCGAGGTGTGTACACCCTGGATCTGAAGTGGAGCATTAATCAGTCTAAAGAAGCTGAACGGTAAAAGAGTATGAACAGTTTTGAGATTGTGTAATTCCTTGAAGGTGTTCCGTTTTTTGAGAATAAAATTATCAAGCCAGAATGACAGCGAGCAGGATTTCGGGTACGGCGCTATTGGCTCTGGTGATATTTTTAGATGCAGTTTCTTTTTCACTCGGAGCTGCTGGGATCCGATGGTTGTGAGTATATCCGTTATTCGATATCATAGTTTAAGATATCTTTTTAATGGTACATTCAAATCGCTTAATTTGTTTGACTTCAAAGACCATCCGAATACACTGCGTCGTCTCGGTAGAGAATTCTACAGTCCGAGGGTCGGCGACAACGCTCGATGATTGGCTTTTACAGCTTCTTTACTTTTGTTGATAATCGCGTTCCTGGATAGCACTTAAGCAGACTTTTTATGCCCCACACTTTCAACCCTTTATCTATTGTATCAACGGTACATATTATATCTCTGTAACTTTTTTAACAAACTACCCGAAAGTTACCCGGCCATTTAATAATCTTTCTTTCTATACTTAGTTGGGCTTTAGCGTAAAACCATCCTTTAGTTTTTCTTATGTAGAAACATTTGTAATGGCAAACCCACAACTTTGAAGCTTTACAAAGCAGAAATTGGTTTTTGCTATCAGTAGCTTAACTTCATATCAAGACAGAACTGATAATATCTACACCTGTTTTCTTTTTATAAAGCCCTTTGTAACCATCCGTCTAAAACTTTGCCTTGTTGCCCTAAGATCAAGAAAATCATGAATCTGAGACGCTCAAAGCGGCCCTTTGCGAAAATCCTAAATTTGACTATGATTTGGCATATTGGCAACCGTTTCAAACAACGGTTTATCTAATATACCAAATGATCTTTTTTTTATCTATAATTCTCCCTGTTATTAAATTCCTATCCAAAGTTCTACCATTGAATCAAGATGACCGCTTTCTCCTTGCATAGCTTTTAGCTTTTTAACTTTTTCATAGGAATGTCGAAATAATAAAATTACAAACACGTGAAGGGTAATGAGGAACCTTCTTAATCTTAATTCCAGACACTTAAAGGCTTGGATGGGTATTTATAATTTTGTATTCAGCGATTTGCTTTTGATTCAATATTTTTTAATTCGTCGCTGTGTAGTTTGCTAGCTGCATAAATATCATGTTACTTTGTATCAAGTGTTTGCAGAGATGGACCTTGTGGATTCCACCGAATAGGTTCCCTGGGTCCTGAAATCCCGCTACATTTTTAGCCCGATTCCCGATTCCCGATTTCCGATTTCCGATGCCTAATCATCAATTCCCGAATCCCGGTGTTATCAATTCTCGAAACCCGCTCATAAAAATTTGCCAATTCCCGATTCCCGATTCCCGACTCCAAAAAATTCCCGTTTCCTGAAAAACACTTTGGTTACCCTCCTTATGAATTAAAGTACAAACTTCAGCATAGGGTATAAGAATCTGTCGATTTAAAAGCGTTTTAAAGAGTTGCAAACAAAATACCTTAGGCAAAATTTAAAGTATTCTAGGGGATGATCAAAGTCTCTCGTATTCTCATTTTTATGTAGGGTGAATACAAATTTACCCCAATTTGAATTTTTGTCCAAAAAGCCAATAGTCCGGTTCGAGGGCGGATTCATTTTCATTTCCTGGATTATGTTCTCCTTGAGCAGTGTCAGTTATCTTGGCTTACGAACTGTTTTGTCATCTAGGTGGTGATCGAGACACCGATTACCAGACTAATAATACGCTCGAATGATTATAAGATTGATTTCAACTCTAACCTCATGATCTGTTCATTTAGCAGAGTTCTTATCCGACATCTTCAGTTAAATGGGGTCGAGAATTTGCGTTCAGATGTCAAGTAGCTTATCGTACTATCGTACTAGATGAACGATAACATTGCAAAATATTTATATTCAAACATGTGTCATATACAAAATGATAAACGAGTGTCTTCTCTGACTTTTATGGCCAAATCCAGCAATTTGAATAACGAAATAAAAAACGACACCCATATCTTAATTTAGTCTTTCCTTGCCTTTTTTCTTCAAGATTCCGTGTCATCTTTCATTTTTCAAATAAAAGTTTTCAACTTATGGCTTTCTATGATTGTTTGGATTTTCCAATTAGTCTAATCCCCAATTCCCATTACTGAACTGTTTAGATAAAAGGTTTTCTCCTTTGACCCCTGGAAAGATGAGCCCTTACTGTCACCGTATGCTGTCACATACATGCACTAGCCTCGATTTTCAGCAAATCCGTTAGCATTTAACACGTCAATTCAAGGCCATTCCCATTAAATCATACTTTTATCAATCACGCCAATCCAACCTTAAACGCATTTTTGACTTCTTTAATGTTTAATGGTTTGTATGATAAAAGATCACCCTCTTCCCCAAATGACAGTAAATTTTTCCATGATTTGCCTTAAGGGCTGCTTTATAAGCTTTTTAGCTTTCTTTTGCGTTGCCTCAATACCCTTAGCATGTCGAGAAAGGGCCTTTCCAAGCTGAAAGATCCATTCTTAAACGATCAGAAGAGAAGTTCGAGGCACGGAGTAAAGAGGACAAATGTTTCCACGCCTACTGGGGAAACAGTAACAGTTCCGACCTTTCTCCTCAGAACTCCACTTCTGATCAGCATGAATTAGACTTCGACGTAACCAATTGTTAGACATATTTCCGTATTCCCCCACATCACCAAAACTGAGAGGTAGTAGTGTTGAACGTGTTGCTCATTCACTTACTCTCTAGTTCTCTTACTCCTTTTGCCTTCTTGCACGTTCACGTACCCTATAGCACATTTTCTTATTTTCACGTACCCTATAGCATGTTCTTCTATTCTCAAGTATGTTCGCTTGCCCTCTAGGACATTTAATCACCCCCTATCACATTGTCTTATTCCCCCTATCACTTTCCTTTCCCTCTGGCATATTCGAAATGTTTTTATGGCCTTTTGCGGTATCGCTTGAATCTAGCTACAAATTTTTTATTTCTTTCTTTGTTTATGCATCATTCTGAGAAAATTTTTTCTTATTTCCAGAGGGATGAAATCAAGTCACCATGAAAGATGGAGAAGAGATGATTGTGGGCGTAAGATTGGCCTAGCCTCTGCCAAACAAGTTAAAATATGCAAAAGCAACATTGGGCTGATGAAGTTTGTGGAAGATAGTGCAAGGCTGGTTAAAGACGAGTGCAGAGAGCAGTTTCATTCAAGAACCTGGGATTGTTCATCACTCACAAAAGCCCCCAATTTTGGATTCGATCTTAAATCAGGTTTGGATATGTTCTAATCTTATAAAACTACTCTTTATGTGTTCCTTGTGCTTTTGAGGATCGCTTGTAATGGTTTTAGAACTGAGAAGCATGATTCTGATAAGGGCTTCTTGTCAAACAGCATAATTGAATCCAAATAGTCAATAAAAGTTCTAAGGTGACAAGAATTGTGTCCAATTTCTCTTGCGACATACATTGAGTGTCTCACAGAAGCTTTCAAGAAGTACGCTTATGTAGCAGAAGATCTTAAGACAGCGTTCATGTCAGAATTAGAACTTTGATTAAGACTTTTTCTTAAGCTGCAAGGATCAACGATCCAGCCTCAATCAAGCTGCTACCTGCTAAGTTTACGTCGATCTGCCTTACAAACTAGAGTGAAGCAGATAAAACCTGATTAGAATCAACCAAGTGATTTCCTATCACACTAGGTGCGTGCTGTTCGGATAATTTTGGGATGGCTGCCTGCATGCTTTCATATTAAATGAATATCCTTATAGTTTTTGCATGCGTGATTTAGCATGTAGACAGAGAACGCCTTGCATTGAAATGATTTCAGTATATGACAGTCATGAACGTCGGGAGCATGCCAAAGTAGACGGGCACAGATAGATGAAAAGGACAATATGTCCCAGGAGCAATGTGTCCCAGTAGCACGGTCGCTTCTCCAAAAAGTATAAAAAGGGCACTTTTAAGAAGCTGGTCATTATCCTTGGTGCTCCCCCCTCCCCCTCAGGTTCCTACAGTCCCTGATGATGATGAGACATACTGCAGCATATTTTCAATATCAAATACCTATCCAGGTCTCGCTGAAAGGCTAATTAAAGACGAGTAAGTTTTGAAGAGTTGTCTCTTTTGAAATCTGTGTCGCTAGCATATCTTGTCACTAAATGTGACATGAAAGTACTGCGGATCTAGATAAACTAAGCATACTGCAATCTGTGACATACGTTTAGAACAACTTTATGGTACAAAACGGAAGGTTATATGTTTGAACAAGTTGATTTATTGTACAAATTAACTGTATGTAGCAGGAACATAAACTTGGACAATGACTAGAAACCCAAAAAGAAATGCTTTACGTCTGTAACATTCGACTTCAAATGTACTTCAAAAACTTCTTTTTCAGAGTTTGCTTTTACTTCTGTTCCGTTTTACGATGGTACTGTGGAAAAATCATTCCCCTGTCTCTCCATGGCCTGTGTTTGGCAATGAAAAACAAATTAATCTAGGTATACAGATAAAAAGTGCTGCCATCAGCAGGGGAACAAAGATCAGTGCAAGCAGACATCCGAACTAAGCAAAATAATTAAAAAACTTATTTCATATGGAATAGATCTTTGCTTTCGTTTAACCTAATGCTGAGAAAGCAACATCGCGAATCACCAAGACATGTGACAAGAAATTGAAAGTTTGACATAAAAATCTGTTCTTTATAAACGCTACCACCCCTTGTCACAATAAAGCTAGGATAATGCTGAAAGATTACAAATGTACCACAGTACCACAATGTGTGTATAAAAACTTTCTAGGTATTTCGCTTCATCTTCATGCTTTAATCATTGCATGCCAGCTTATAATCTTGACAGGAAACAGGAAAATCTATCACTTGTTCACCTTCATTCCCGGTTGTGTTTCAACATCCAACATATTGTAACAATCAGGCTACAATGGCCTTAAAGTTCACAGAGAGGCTACTTATCATTGAGAGGTCTCTATGTTACTGAAATGATCGGGTACGTAAGCGAGGAATATAGAAGATTTCGTTTTCAGTAATTGCTCTAGAATTACGTAAAGAATCTTCCTGTGGTCGTGAAAGTCTAAGTGTGAGTTATAATCCTAATGATGATGATGATAATGGTTTTGTGTATTACATAACATCAATATTAAGCCAATCCTTTGTTGAGACCATTTTATTATAAGCCATCGATTGAGTATCACGAAGTCGTTCCCCTTGCTGTATCTTGGAGAGTTTCAAGGCTTTAATCCAGCACTGATTTTCTAATCAAACTTTGTCTCTGTCTACCCGTATGGTCATTCGAAACATGGAGGGGGATTTCAATAAGAGTTTTAATAAGCTTAGTCAATTCAACGAATTATTCCGAGCTAAGCTGTTTGAGTGAAAACTGTAATAAACGCAGACAACAAGATGGCAAAATCTAATTTGTGGTTTTGCCTCTTATGTTAATCGGTCATAAAAAAGCTTGATTTTTGTCCTCGTGCGTAAAAACTCAACAATTAGATAGAGGAGCGTTTTGGTAAGAGCAGGGTAGAGAGTAAAGTTAATAGCTTGAGGTTTAAAGAAGTAGCTAATTTAGAGATGCTTTAACGTGTAACATGAGTGGTCTCGTTGTCTCGCAAATCGAAAGAATTAGCCACTAGTGTCTTTAACCAAGTTCTTACTGTTGAACTGAGCAGTCAGAAGGGTCCAGGGTGCATTGTTCTAACCGTATAATTTAGATAGAGAGAAATGTGCTTGGCAGGAGTCTCACATTGGACTACCAATTGTTAGTTTCCAGTACAGTGAGGCTGCATTTAATTGCAAAAGGGATATGTATGTTGGTACTGATGCTTTTTTATTGATAATCAATAAAGCATCGAATGGTAGTGGTAGTGGTAGTAGTGGAACTGCACTTTATTTAGAATCGACTTTTACTTCAGGCTTAGAATCTAAATCTCAACGGGGTTCCCAAAGGATCATCTCTCGCTTCCATGGTGCTCTCTGCTGTTAACTTGGCTTTTATAGGTTATTAAATGACATTGACAAGAAGCAATTGAGCTAGTGGTTTTAAGAATTTCCGTTCTTCCTGGCTTTTGAATCTGAGGAATTAAGTTGCTGTTTCCACTTAAAAAAGAGGACATTTCTTAGCTGGGCGTTTTCAAGTAGAGGATCGGTCAGCTCTTCTGTGCTTGAGAATGCTAAACTATTTCATCTTTCATCTATCAACTGACGGTGAACATGCAGTCAAGTTCACGCAATCGATGTCAAGGACTTTAAGTCTTTTTCTTATTCCAAGTAGGCTTAAAATAGAATTATGATAATTTAAGCGGAAAAAATATGCAAGGTCAACCTTTCGCAATTTCGTGAAATGCCTTTATACTTACCCTCTCTTGATAGCAGATTTTAGCATTGTTCTACCAGAGGTATATCTTATTACTAAATCGCTATTAAAATAGAAGTGTTTAGAATCTTAGAGCCAATTTGGAGATTTGATACACAACAAAAGCAAGATATTTTCAGAAAAATTGTTTGACACAGCTTATAATCAACAAACAAATGAATAGAATTTGAATTATGTTTCAAGATCCTTGAACTCAACACAGCTAAAAAGTTCCCTTGAAGAACGCGAGAAGACACAATGGACTAGTTAGCTCTTTTAAGTTTGGCACTGAACTAAGTTCACTTTGGATTAGGGCAATAAAATTGGAGACGAAAATGAAGTTGCTCCTTGGTAATCTGGGATGAGTCGTTCTGAATCGGTGGCTAAAAGAATTCATCAAATATGATTAAAACTCTGCAAAACCAATCTTTGAAACGATTTACCAACAGCAGGGACAATTCACTTCGCTACATAAAGACACCAAGTAATAAAAGATATGTTAATCAGCTTTGCGACACGCTGTGTTGATATTAGGAAGGTGAACCGATTTCCTCTGTTGCCCTTGCATGCTTGGTTTGCAGGAATAGCTGTTTCAGGAGGCAAGTGTTCGAGAGAATTGATAAAATCTCAGCATACATTCGCTTATGGAAATATGGGAAGCTGCTGGAAATATGTGCAAATAATGAATTATGCTGCTACCGTCAAAATTTGATTGGGAGGGGGCTAATTATCTCTAGTTCCAAATCCTTAGTCCCTTAAACAGTCTTATACTAAACGGGAAGTATTTTGATAGCTTTAGCATTTTCAAAAGTAGCTTTAACTTTCTTTAAACTTGCTATTCTGAGCGCTGTTCTTCTTTGCTGATCTACGCCTTATAAATACGCCCCATCTTCTTATATCTTCATGAAATTGGAATGGTAAATTACTTTATCCTGATTTTTGTGTCACATTGCTTTTCCTGTAGTTCTTAGCACATCTCTTCTCGTCTGTTGAATCATCTGTGGCAAAAATGTGCAATTTCTCGAATCTGAAAATTAGACTCATCGAGACAGTACATCATTTGTTTAAAATCATTTGATTCAACAATTGTTCAGATTTGTATTGGTTCAGATTGGATTTGATTTCAAACTACCTTAATGGTTATCTCATAAACACATTTAGATTTTAATTGATTACATCTTATCAGCGGAATTTGGTTGTACTCTTCTAGTGTCCATGACAAAATCGAATTTGCTTAGGACAAATAATGACCTTAAAAAACTTGCAAAAGTCTAAAATGCAATTCACCAGAATGATATTCTAAAAAAATTCAGACCTTGAAAACTACCCGCGAGGTACTCCTGATGTTGCTATGGTGACACTGTAGTGTGACTTGAAAACTTATTGGACAAAACCGACAAATTGATCTTTGATAACGAAAACGCTTATATCCGTTATTAAGTAGATTTTCCGCCAAAAAACAAACAAACCTTTGAAGCTCCGAACAATTTTAACAAAAAAGGGAATAACAGAGCTCTAAGAATTGACTTAATACTTTTGCGATCCCGCGCGCTAGGCCGATCTGTTGCCTCACTATTGTCTCCGATAATGCTATTTGGAGCCTTTGATCCTCACAGTTGTCTTACATTCACGCGTAAATAGGAATCCTCTAAGCATGCTTGAGAATTTTGTAGGACTTAATTTTCCTAATACTTTCAAGTACTAGCAATGGATTGCACGCTAAGGACGTATGCCATTCTAGATAGGGCACCCAGCACGAGTCAAGGATGTATTAGGGATTAATTATTATCATTTTGATGTTAATTAAATCGACTTAACGGTCTAAAGAAAGTTATTCTTGGTGGGCAAATCTTGATCAGGACTTTACCGCTCTTGATCCTAACCATCCTCGCACCTATCGCA